ACCAATTATATGCTCCGCATCCTCCTCAGTGTTCCCCCGAGGGAAGCTGCGGGCATTTTTTTTTCTCGGTGCGCTTGCCAGGTGCCGGGATCTTCGACGGCGACGATGACAACGGCAGAGTGCGTATCCCAGGAGCTCCACTCCTGCATAAGATCTGCTGAAACATGAAAATCCGCGAGGAAGAAAATAAATGGCCTAATCGCATAGAAGTCATTTCACGCAGCGATACGAACATGGAAGTTCGCGCGGATACGCGCTGGCAACGACCGCAAGCTGCAGCCAGAAATCGTGAAACATAACGGGAACTACAAAGGTACACCCGGTTTCAATTAAGTTTACTTGAGTAACACATGATAGAAGGATACCAACCAATCCTTATTGCCCTTCTATGCTTTTATGTGCCAGAGCCAGTGTCGTAAAACTTTATTTTCCAAACATAGAGCCCTCTTTTGCCATCAAATCTATCCTAAAGCTGTGGCGCTGTTACAACACCGCATTCAAGATAAAAAAAAATGGCCCCGTATCTGCACGTTACACTGCAAATGTCGTCGAGAACACGATAGTCTTGCATCCGGAGAGAGTACACAAAACGTTTATTTGATGTTCTGCGCAAGAAAATCGTGAATGGTATTCTGGGGCTGCTGCGTTGGAGTTCCTCGAGCGTGCAGCGAGGTTGATTGATCATCACCATCATCACCACCATCATCATCATCATCATCATCATCATCATCATCATTAGCCTGACTACGCCCACTGCAGGACAAATGCCTCTCCCATGTTCCGCCAGTTAACCCGCTCCTGTGCTTGCTGCTGCCCATTTATACCCGCAAACTTCTTAATCTCATCTGCCCACCTAACCTTCTGTCTCCCCTTAACGCGCTTGCCTTCTCTGGGAATCCAGTTAGTTACCCTTAATGAGCAGCGATTGTCCTGTCTACGCGCTACATGCCTGGCCCATGTCCATTTCCTCTCCTTGATTTCAACTATGATATCATTAACCCCCGTTTGTTCCCTAATCCACACTGCTCTCTTCTTGTCTCTTAAGGTTACACCTACCATTTTTCTTTCCATTGGTCGCTACGTCGTCCTAAATTTAAGCTGAACCCTCTTTGTAAGTCTCCAGGTTTCTACTCCGTAGCTAAGTACCGGCAAGATACAGCTGTTATATATTTTCCTCTTGAGGGATAGTGGCAATGTACCTGTCATAATTTGAGAGTGCTTGCCAAACGTGCTCCACCTCATTGATATGTGGGGTTTAACGTCCAAAAACCACCACATGATTATGAGAGACGCCGTAGAGGAGGGCTCCGGAATATTTCGACCACCTGGGGTTCTTTAACGTGCACTCAAATCTGAGCCGACGGGCCTACAACATTTCCGCCTCCATCGAAAATACAGTCGCCACAGGAGGGATTCGATCCCACAACCTGCGGGTCAGCAGCCACTAGACCACCACTGCGGTGGCAACGAAAAACTGCCAGGGCTGCGCGGAACACACAGCCCTGTCACAGCGAAAACTGGAAGGGCGCCCTTTGAGAGTGTTTTTAACACTCTTTTCTGAAAGTGAGGGTTGCGTAGCGCTCCATAAAGTGCGTACAACATCGGCACACGGTCCTGACGAGGTGACGAATAAGACGCTGGGCAACCTCAATCCAAAGTCGGTAGGGCCCATTACTGGCTATATTGTCTTGGTGTGTTGGTATGCGGCCCTGTTGGTGGCAGTAGAGGAGAGCAAAAGAGTGAATAACTGCTGTGGCTGAGTAAACAGTCGTCCACTTTGAAAAAAAAAAAGAAGCGAGAAAGAAATGTACAATTGTCTTGAAGGGAGGTTCCACATCACAAAAATCTTGACCTGCAGTCAACGCGAATAGTACAGCTTCATCCTGGAGACGTGAGCCACATCCGAGGAGCGTGGTCTACGAGAAAGGTGCGACGCGTTGGATCCTTGTTGGGACAACTTCGTAGTTCACTGATAAGACAATTGTATATTTATTTCTCGCTACATACCATGCTGTGTTGGTGGCAATATGAATGAGTGCTGGAGGTCCGGCCATTCGCCACCAGTATGAAAACACGCAAGGGTCGCGTTTATACCGAAACCAGGCAAGAAACGTGATCCTGGAGAATCTTCGTCCAATCTCGTTGACCTCCTGCCTGGGCAAACTAATGAAGCATGTTGTCCTCTGTCGCTTGCAAAATCCCCCGTGATGCTGGACTTCAGGGCCCATCTATCCACTCAGGATGCACTCATCCAGTTGCACCACGATCTCCTACGACCTGGGAGTGGCACTAGTACCAAGTCTTTGCTCAGTCTGGACCTTCACAAAGCATTTGACAACGTGAAGCGCAGTACTATTTTAGGCAGTCTGCCTAAACTACGACCCGGGAACGCTTATTTAACTACATCCGTGCTTTCCTATCTAACCTGACGGTTGAAATCTCAGTGGGCGACCTTCGTTCTAAGCTCATCACTCTCGGTGATCGCGGCACTCCTCAAGGAGCCATTTTGTCCTCTTTTCTTTTTGACCTCGCTATGAGGTCACTACCTCCCAAACTTGACCCGACACCCGGCTTGCGATACACCCTCTATGCAGATGACATCACGCTCTGGACGACGGTGGGATCCGATGGTCAAATTGAGTAGACTTTTCAAAAGGCAACCGACGTAGTCGTTCAGCACGTGTCAGGTGCGGGCTCGTAATGTTCCCATCCAAATCGGAGCTACTATTACTGCGACGTCCAGACCGCCGCAAAATTAAGACCCCACTTCCTTGTATTAACGTGTATGTCAATGACACGCCAATACCACAGGTGGCCTACATGAGAGTACCCAGACTCATTGTGGAAACAAACCGCCACAACATTACGCTAGACCGTCTCACCGTAACGGTGAACCAGATGGCCCATCTTATATATCGAGTGAGTGCACGCGATGGAGGCATGAAGAAGGAACTGCTACAGATAATCCAAGCCTTCGTTTTGTCGCGCTTCACGTACGCTCTTCCTCATTTGCACCTCCTTCAATCTGAGCGAGACCAACTAAACGGGCTCATACGCAAAGCATATAAGGTGGCATTGGGGCTCCCCCTAAACACCTCGACAAAGCAACTTTTCAGTCTTGGGCTGCATAACAGCTTAGAAGAACTTCTCGAAGCGCACCTCACGGCGCAACTTCAGCGATTACCGGGAGGCAGGACGGGGCGTTGGATCATTGCTAAAATTTGCCACGTGGTATCTCCTACGGGTAACGATCCGGCTGTCATCGCCTCCCTCAACATCAGAAAGAAATTCCTCATAAAATCACTCCCAAAGAACATGTTGGCCAACCGTCACGATGGTAGTGAGAAAGTGAGGGCCAAAATATTGCAGAAAACTTACGCGTCCAACCCAACCATTGCATAAGTTGACTCCACCCAATACCGATCGGTATTGCCAGGGAGAGTGATTACGCTCATCACTCGAGGGATGAGCGTAATCACTCCCCTGGCTACAACGCCAATTCACCTCAAATTAGAACAGCTGCTTCTGTCTCTGTGCTTAACACGACAGAAGCCGAGGAAGCGGCCATAGCGCTAGCATCAGCAGCCGCATTCAACACTATACTCAGCGACTCAAAGGCTGCTATATCCTACTTTGTACGTGACATTGTGGCCCCCACAACTCTGCGTTTACTCTTGCCCAGACTCCTTTCAGATGCTGAGGAAGACGCACTAAGCTCCAATGAGGTGATATGGTGCCGGCTCACGTGGGGAACCCAGGGAACGAGGTGGCCCACCTATATGCACGAGGATTCGTCAGCCGAACGGTGGTACCCACCTCTGATTCGAAAACCCCTGGTGAAGCCTTGGCATCCTACCATGGCATCACACAGTATTACCGTCTTTCGAGGCTGTCAAAACCACCCCCGCACCATAAAAGCGCCAGGAGGTTGTCTGGTGCCGCTTGCAAACACAATCATTCACGTGCCCATACATTTATGTACCTATATACCCCGACAGGATTGATCCACATTTCTCGCATTGTGGCACTTAATCACATTGTCTGGTCCTGCAGAGAAGATTTCCTCTCTCTTGATCTCCTAGCCACTTCCTCGCCAGAGGGGAGGGGCGGGGAGAAGCAGTTCTGACTTCTACTAACCTGGCCGTTCAGCTCCAGGCCGTACAAAGGGCAGAGGAGGTGGCCAACAGGTTCAGTCTGGCGGATCACCTACCTCCTTAGGTCTGACGACAATAAAGTTGTGTTCTCTCTCTTTCTCTCTCTCTCTCTCTCTCTACCCTGGTCCCTTTTTAGAGTATGAAAGCGGTGAGTAAAGAGATCTGTCCCATTTATGTGACACATACGCGACATAGGAGCGGGTCAGCATGATCTTGTACATCCTTCTAACGCTGGGTTCTCACGTGCGAAACGCCGTTATGGACGCTACGCAATGCATTCGCATTTCCTCACGATTCCCGTCGGGGAGGTGGGAGCATTTTCCAAAAACACAACCGCTGTTAATAGAGAATTCAGAATTAGGGGTCCAAAACACTGGCTCCCCATGCTGCGTTGCGTAGGTTGCTCTTGCGTTCGGAGGATCAGCAGAATTTGAGAACCAGGTCAAACACAGGCTGCGTTTGGTCAAACGCGTCTCGCAAAATTTAAAATTATGTGAGACGTGGACCATACGGCACCATGCCCGGCTTGCGCTGCGTCTGCTTCATCTCGCTGTAGCCCCGAAACGCCTTGGGGTTGCACGCTAGTTTTCGATGTTTGTGCCTTGAGTGTGCCCTGTGCCCTGGCGCGTCGCAAGCTTCTTGGGTCGCCAAGCTCCTTTGGGCCCCAACAATCAAATTCTCTAATATTAACCAAATGTTCTCTCAATTTGGGGCGTCCATATGATGGGAAGCAGCGCTAATACATAGGCCGATTCCGTATCAGTTTGTGTTCCTTTTTTTATTAGCTTTACTCTCGGTCATGTTACAAGCAACAGTAGTAGAAACACCTAAAACACCTCCTTTAAATTATATACCGACGCGCACCACAAGTTTGTCTTGGGACACATCGCGAAGTGAAGCTATGGTTGCACACATTTTCAACGCCGGTCCCAGTTTCATGTCCATCGTCGTCATGAGGTGGTGCTCCTTGATGAGGAACAACGCGCCGCCGTCAATCTCGTGGTAACGGAACTTCTCAGCGATGCCCTCACAGCCCGGGCTTCCAGAAACGTACTGTGCCACGTCATCCACTGTCCACTTTTCCGGCGAGTTACTCCAATTATGCAGTGGATACGTAGGTTCCGGATGACGATGCTGGGGTGTGGTTAGCAGTGCAGACGACGCCTGCGAAGTCACAGAGTCCCAAGGAGACGTCGACGGGTCTTCTAGTGGCGTGCCGTTAATGAGCTTGAATTTGGGGGTGGCAGCGGCACCTGGGACAAAGGAGGTGGTCTTGCTCGAAGTCGTGTGGAGTTCTTCGATGTTCTTGCAGGCCAGCGATGGAGTCTTTCGTTTGGGCGTCAATTTCATGGTGGACGTCTCATGAACCTGAAATGGCTTGGTTATGGCAGGCTTGCCGACGAAGGACAAATCCAGGGACTGCGGAGGTTTCTGCTTAGCGGGCACTGCCTGCGTGATGGCTCCAGACGTCCCCGCGTTCATCCCCATGCTCGGCATCGTTCTGCTGACGTGATGGTAACGCTGCGCCCCCACGATGCTGGTCTTCGTTGCCGTGGTCGTACTTGGGAAAGGTTGCAGGGACTCCTGTATGATGTACCCGTCGATGACGTGCGTCATCACGCCTGGCTTGGACACCATCTGGGCGGGCAAAAAGCGAAAGAGGTCCGATACGGGTAAGACCTCGCAAGCTTTCGGTAACGGATCTTCAGTAATGTCCGGTTGGGTCTCGGGTCGCTCTTGACGTTGCCTGGAGTACGGCGGTGTGCATCTAGAAGTCCTGCAGGAGCCCGTGGAAGCGGCTCGGCCACGCATTTTCCGGCCCTTCATGTCTCGTCTTTGCCGACGATTCACACAGACGTGGCGTTGAGTGTTAAGCTACTTCGACGTCGGTCACTTACGGTGATTTGCGCTGTTGGCGTCTGAAGACGAGTCCCGTCCGAAGCGACTGCGTTTCAGTTAATGACGCTCACAGCGCGTGTTGAAAAATGTTTGTTCGAACGAGCGAAACCGAGTGCGTCGCGCGCGGATGTTTTCTAGCGCGTGCTAACTTCGCTGTCGTTTAGGAAGAAAATTACCTCCGAAGCCGACACGCGCAATTTAAAACAAAGAAATGTGAACGACTGTATATAGGTTGTTTGCCTTTTTGATGAGGTGCTTTGCAAGAGTATAACAAAATTGAGGCAGTGGTGTCGGTAGCATCGATTACGCGCTTTTGAAAGAAGCACGTGCAAGCCAGGTGTAGAATGGGAAAATCGCAGCATACCTACGCAGGGATTGATGTTGAGTGGGGCGAAGCTTCGAAGGGTTTTATCCGAAACACGTGAATCATCCGCTGGCCACTCCCGTATGTATGTATGTATGTATGTATGTATGTATGTATGTATGTATGTATGTATGTATGTATGTATGTATGTATGTATGTATGTATGCATGTATCTATGTATGTATGTATGTATGTATGTATGTATGTATGCATGTATGCATGTATGTATGTATGTATGTATGTATGTATGTATGTATGTATGTATGTATGTATGTATGTATGTATGTATGTATGTATGTATGTATGTATGTATTTCCGTCTGTCTGTCCATCCATCCGCCCGTCCATCTAGTGAACACACTGAGTACCGCCACTGCGCACCTTTTGATCACATACTCATCATGTACAAGTACCGCCATTCAGCGGACGTTCCAAGGACTAAAACGAGAGGTGGCTATTACGTGCAGAAGACGCACGAGCCACGCCATAAGAAGCTTCGCCCCTAAAAATAGTCGGACAGAACTCGCGAAGTCAGGACGAGCCAAGTGCGAACCAGCTCTGCTGTGGCCCAGTCATGCACGATTCTGTGCAAGCTATGCTGATATATCTTTTTTTTTTTTTTCGTTTCATAGACCAAATGCCGTACCTAGCAACACCTGTCTGTAAAGAGTATAACTTCGGATAGTACGTGACGACTAACAGCCCCCCACTATTTTTGCCTCGCAAGTCAAACGTCGTCTATCGTTGCCTCAGAGGTGGGAGGAGGTCTCCGAGGCAACGCTGTCTCTTCGCGATACGCAAAAACAGCCTGATCAAAAAAGCCTCTCAGATTCGACGCTGCCAAAAGCGCTAATCATCGGGTGGACTGAAGCATCTAGATATGTACAAGGGCTGTGTCTCCAATCAGAAGGATGAGTGTGCGGTGACATAATGCCTACGTCAGCAGCACAGGGCAATCGAAAGCCCCGCTCCCCGAGGTGACGTCAAGGACGCGTGTTCGCCGATGACTCGGCTCGGCCATCTTTTGATGTCCAAGGGCAGTGCTGAGAAAACGAAAAATCAGCACAAATTTTTATTTGCGTCCCAGTGAACGTTCCCAGGAAATAAAGAGAAACTGCTACAGCTAACTCGAATTCCCGCTATGTTGCATCCATGAAGAACAACGCAACCGCTAAGTAAATTTCTCTGGTTTATTGCAGTCAGCATGATTCAACCAACGTATCACAACTGAATTCCTCACACGCTTGTTCCAAATGTTGACATCTAAAGGGTGTAATTAGGTTATGCTAAGTAATTACTCCCCAGTACTCTACTACATTCGGCATGCCTCATAATCATAACACAGATACGACACGATAAACTTTAAAAATTATAAGAAAGCTTGAGCAGCCCTAATTCGTAATGATGCTCTTACAAGATGTCAAAAAAGTAATAATAACAAGTACATAACAATAATAACAATACTATTATTATTATTATTATTATTTTTATTATTATTATTATTATTATTATTATTATTATTATTATTATTATTATTATTATTATTATTATTATTATTATTATTATTATTATTATTATTATTATTATTATTATTATTATTATTATTATTATTATTATTATTATTATTATTATTATTATTATTATTATTATTATTATTAGATGATCCTGTATTCAGTTGTGCTATTGTTGGGTACTTTCATCTATATGCAAATATCTCGGAGGCTTCTTTTTCATCCTCATCCCTTTCACACTACCTGTAACAAACGAAATACTAATTAGCGTATTTTATAATTATCATAGTTCACCCTCATTATGTCGCTCATCCCGCATGACTGAACAACAACAAATTGTTCCTGCCAAAAGCTTGCGAAGGCATTCTTTCGCAAGAATAATTGTGTTCACACGAATGAGGCGCGTCGGCTGATTAATTATTCATTGTTACCGTCCTAATGCGGGCAGAGGAACTCCCCACACCAAACAATAAAACTCAGTGTTTGCCTCAGGCTGAAAGAATGACGTTTAATATAAGCATTGTTTACCGCGCGGTTTTCAGGTCCTCTGCGGATGGTACCTCTTTGAATATTCTGTTTCGTTTGCAGAGCCAACATGCTCCTCTTCAAACCACACGCGTCTTTGATTGGCTGATCATTTCAGGTATGAGAAGATAGTCTGCATTAGAGCCAGCTATTCTAATACGTTGTTAAACCGTTCTGACTACGCATTTCGTCGTAAGTACATACCGCGCAACGAGTGACAAACTAAGGCTACAGGAAAAAAAATAAGCGAGAACAGAAACAAAACACAGCTCATTCACTGGGTGAATTCCGACGAGTGGGGCGAAGCGGACGGACGGACGCACGCACGAACGAACGGATGCGTGAAAGCATGGACAGACGCAGACGCTTCGCCCCACTCATCATCATTTACTCCGTATAAATGCTGTGAGACCGTTCTGAAACCTTGATACTGGCTACTACTACTACTTCGACGACACGGGACTTGCGACCCACGGCGTAAGAAACTTCGCCCCTAAAAAAAGTTCACAAAACAAAAGGAAGATCTCTATAGGCGCACGAGTTGAAGTTTGCACTCATGTTCAATACGACACCAATCTAACTCTCGTGTGCCGTCCTTTCTTAGCACTCTCAAAACACATGGCGGTCATAAAGTGTAGGTATCGATTAGGTCAAGGTAACTAAGTTACTGCCACTAAAACGAAATCACACGAAGTGGTCATGCCACATTGTGTCATACAGAAGGCATGGGACCATGCATGGTGCGGGTGTTTGTGTTTTGCAAAGCACTCCTTGGATGACCGCAAAAAAATGGGAAAACTATATAGCAATATCCGAGGGCAAAAAAAAAAGACACTGGTGATGTACAGTGGAGCGTAACGACTTCATGTATAAAATATTAAAAACGCAATACACTTTACAGCAAGAAATGGTTTTGAATAACACGCTCTTCAGTTTACGCGGGTAATCAAGTAGAACACACATACCCTCGATGGAAACGAAGTAAGGCTGGTTGGATACTAGGCGTAAATACTGTCTGATTTTAATAAACGTTGACATTTTAAAGGAACACTACATATAAAAATATCAAAAATTGGCGAAGCTTCCACTGAGACACAAAAGACTTGAGACGGCAAAGCCGGCTGGCTCTGAAGACTAATCTGGTTCTCCTAGGTTGCTTTTTAGCCTTATTTAAGATATGAGGGATGTTTTTAGGTGGCTTTCATAGGTCGTTGCTATTGGCCAAAGCTAGGTGATGCTAGCTCGCTTCTGCACTGATTCTAAGCGCAGAGGCTTTCTAGTCAAACGCCACACAGCCACAGACACGAGATGGATGTCCGGATTCGAGAAGCAGGACCTCGCGCTGAAAACAAGCGTGCGCTCCTCCAATAGATCTACCACGACGTAACCGTTGACGATAGGCCTTTCGTCCCCTCCGGCGTTTCTTGCCACCACCGTTGCCTTTCCCTGGCATTCCCCCGCCGTGTACGTCTATTACCCAAGGATTCAAACATGACGTCACATTTTTTATGTATTGACTGGTGAGCGCAGTTCGAGATGATCACGTGATGTTGTGACAAATGTGGTCTCTAAACATAATGTTGGCTCTTTTTCGTTTGTTCCTCTATGTGGCGTTTAACGTCTCAAAACCACCATACGGTTATGAGAGACGCCGTAGTCTTTGATCATGTTATTTTTAGACGTCATTTCCGTGACAGAAGTACGTCACTGAAATCTCGATGAGCTACGTAAAAACACGTTAAAAACTGCAAAGGAAATACTAAATGGCGTCTCTCATAACATTACAGAGGGCTGGAGGCAGTGGAGGGCTCCAGAAATTTTGACCAATTGAGGTTTCTTCACCTGCTCCCAAGACAGAACAATCGAGTATACGGTATTTTTGCCTCTATCGAAAATGCGGCCGCTGACGCCTGGATTATATCCCGTGACCTGCGTGTCAGCAGCCAACCCACTAGACCATCGTGGTGGGGGTAATGTACCCTCGGATCTACGTGGTATAGCGGAGAGCGAGAAGAAACTTTCTTCTTATTCGCTAAAAAGTTTCTGGGCAAATTACACAGATATTGACCAGACTGTGGATGGCGGAAGCGAAAGTACCTTACTTAGCCCTAAATTGTACCGTTTCAATCCGTGGGCACTGTGCTTTGGGTATACGACTTACCACCATCGCTTCACTACCATTTTTCGTTGCTGAGATAAATGTTGCTCTTTACATTTTTAGTAAACCAGTGGTGAAACTAATGGAATTTGCCAATTTTTTCATCCTCATACCTGTTTACGATGGTGATAACATCGTCGTTTGTTTGATCGGATAAGGAACGGTTAGCAAAACGACTTCTCCGTTAAAACATAAATGAACCTGCTCTGCTCGAGAAACTCGTTCTTTTCGGACGTCTATGTCTTATAAACGATTCCGATGTGGTCATTTGTCAAGAAGACCACCTCGAAATGGAGCTCTCCTGGGTCACACTGCCTTGGGTGTTGCAAGATTTGGTGACAAAATAACTTTATCTGAAACCCGGCGACTAA